TTTTTTTTTTTTTTTTTTTTAATAATTTTATTTTAGAGGAGTTACGACGACTGACAAGGAAAACGAATTGGATATCTTCATTGGAGGGGAAAATGACTTGTGGAGGACAATGTGCGTGTACCTCAAACTCCTCCGGACAATCTTCATTTCCTAGTGGGCCGGGTTTTGACGTAGTTTGTCCGTTTTGCCCCTAGAAAAATGGGAAATTACGACTTGGTATATCATGGATTGATTGTGTAAAGGACAATGGGAAATTTTATCATTTGTGAATTTATGGATACAACTTGCATTAAAAATTGAGTCATGTTAATGCTACGTGAGTGCATACATACACTATGCATAAAGAAGAATGATTTATATAGAGGATAATTTGACTCTATGGGTATGGCAAAGATTTGAACCGTCAAATCACATGCACACATACATCCGACAAATGTGTATTGATTCAACAATATGAATAATATTTCTTGATTAGTAAACAAGAGAACAGAAATATACATAACAATCATCCGTTATTCTTCTCCTTATAATATTGTTAACGATTCAATTTTTCCCAACATGTGATCCAATAAGTCAATCTTAATTAATAAATTTTGATTATAAATGAGATAACCGAGATACACATAACAATCATCCATTATTCTTTTCCTTATTGTTAAGGATTCAATTTTTTTCCAACACATAATTCAATAAGCCAGTTGGTAAACTAATCGGATAAAGTAAACTAACTCATTAACACTATCAATTCTCAATGCATTAAAATTATCAGTTCTTGCTGGCTGCTGTATGCATAGCATACTGTGATATGGGCAAACGAATCCTTGGAATCTTGTGAGTACACATTTAAACCAACGACGTCTATGCATATTTAGAGATGAATAGAAAAGTTCACACCAGTCACCACCTTCCCTGTGACCGATTGTGATCGGTTCACAATCAAAGCACACGCGTAACAGTTTTACATTAAAAAAAGGGACTGAAGTTGCAATTTCCACTTTAGAAACTTACTACTCTTCGGGTACAACCTGTTGAGACCCTATATTACATTTGCTCACTTGATGATCTCACACAGATGCAAAAACTCTCTTTTTTTTTTCTCTTATCTTTTTTTTTCCCCTCGTTTTATTCAAGCATTCTTACAAATAGATAATACTACATTGATTCAAATTCGAATCTAGAAACGTGAAGAGATGGAGTTTTTTTTTTACCATTTCCCTCTTCCATTTTTCAAGGACTACACAAACTGATCTTCAGCCGCACTTTTGAAGTTGAAGAAACATTTTTTTCCTGTCTGAATTTGGTTGTGTCTTGCTTGCATCTTGAGTTCCCAATTTGAATGAACCAACAACACTTCCCAATCCAAAAGATTTTTTTTTTTTTTTTTTTTTNNNNCTCTAATTTATGGATCATTGGGTGTCCATAAACGAGCTTTCCCCTATTCTCTACACCAAAGTCGAACACCGAACTCTACAGCTTTACAGTGAGGTGCTGCAGACCCTTGAGTCGTGTAATAATCTGTGCAAAAGAAGGCCGTTCCTGTGGATTTCTGCAAAACATTAAGCCTTCCAGTTAATCCAACTTCAGGATTCCGTCGCATATATAGGGATAGAATTAAAAAATATTAATTGCATCCCCATTGGCGAAAAAAAAAAACAAACAACAACGAGATATTTACAATTGGAATTATGCCTGGATACAAAAACTTCGCTCAAAATGGTTTTTTTTTTCTTTTTTTTTCTTTTAACCAGAGTTAACTTGGAAAATTGTGGTATGGTTAGTTGTTAGTGGGATTTGAGTTTAAATTAAAGTAATACATAAAAATAATAATTAAATCTGTTTGGATTTAATGTGATGTGTAATAATGATTGATTTGTATTATTTAATTATATTGATAATATTAGGGATAATGAAGTTGAGTTAGATTTTGAGTCGGATTGAGTATGAAATGGAATATTTGGTATCCAAGCAAACCCATTATAGATCTGCTGGCAATACAAAAACTCCCCGACCTTCATTCCTTAAGAATTTTGTTTCCCCACAAGGTGGAATTTGTAAAAAAAAATAAAAATAAAAGCATATGCCAATGAACCATCTACAGTATTACGAATCACAATTTTATTTTTTATAATTGTTCTTTTATTAGACTACTAATCATGGCTATTATTCATAGCTAACCCTCTTATCATGAACAGCTAATTCAAATAGAAATCTATTAATTATTATAACTTAAAAAACAGAGGAATCATAAGCATGCACGAAAGTAGGATTTGGTTAGGAAACTCACCTACTCCAACAGTCATTTATTATAGCCGCCACAAGGGGATCAATAGTGGGTGGGATTTCCAGATGTCTACCCTGGAATCCGACGGCCCCAACCACCTGCATCGAGTTCATCCCCGTCCATGGCACTAGCAGAGTAGCTAGCTCCCACAGTATTACCCCAAAACTATATACATCAGACCTGCAAATTCAATAAGCCAATCAGTAATCAGCAAGATGCAAAATATAAGATTAACAACAGTTGACAATTCTTTCTTGTACTCAAGAGTACGTATGAACTATTATATTAACTCACTTCTCGTTAGATGGCTCGTTTCTTAGAACCTCTGGGGCCATCCATTCTGCCTGCACAATTACAGGAAAAAATAACCAGTAACGAATTTAGAAAAGGAAAAGAAGAAGAAATCTTCTTAGATGAAAAATGCTAATATATGGTAGAGAAACAGCTTACTGTCCCAGCAATCGACTTCGAAGATAGAAAAGTATGGTACTGAAAACGTGACATCCCAAAATCACAAACCTATCATTTGTTTATAGGAAACGAAAAAGGAAAATGTTTTAGAAAAGACTGAGAAATCCATCATTGTAATGAATGAGATGGTCACAAGGAAAAATTGGACGTACCTTAACCACCCAATTTTTATCAACAAGGAGATTTGGAGTCTTCAGATCTCGGTGCACAATGATTGGATGGCTACTGTGCAAATAATTCATTCCCTTTGCCTAACAGAATTTGATATGTTAGCAGGTTGCAAATAACTTAATTGAAGAAAAAAGGGGAATTTTATTAATCAAACCAATACCACATCGAGTGCCATTTTTATACGCCTTTTCTCGTCTATTTGGATACTTGGACGGTGCAGCAGCTTATACAAACTACCCCTGCAAGTGTCGCAGGTATTAGAAGATGCCATAACATAGTAGGAACAAGATTAAATGCCCTATCTATTACGATAAAAAAACTGGTGCTCCCACCTCATTTCCTGCCTCAATTGGTCTTTTGTTCAAAAAAAGATAATGATGGCGTGTTTACATTCCATATAAAGGTATGAAACACATAAAGCACTCAAGGGAATATACATATGCACATAATGAGGCAGGAAAAAAAGGGTAGCTGGTGAGTTTAAGAAGGATTATGGATCGATGCTTATATAATAAAAATTTGCAGAGACAAGGGTAAGATGACACCAAAGTTGTAGCCGCAAATAATACTATAAGGTACAGCAGCATAAGCTAAAAGGCTAAAAATTATGCCAAGCTAAACTTAGGTTTTGAATGGAGACTAATATTATATGATGTATATATTCTAAGTGAGCTAAAACCAGCAGAACAGATATTGGCCTCGTGAATTTGCATGCGAAATTGAGAATTAACCTTGGAAGAAATTCTGTCAATATAGACAAATTTGGGGGTCGAGTCACAGCTCCCATGAAAAGAACAACATTGGGATGTCTCAACCTTAACATGATCTCAACCTGCATCAGGAAACAGGAGAGAAGATTAAAACCAAAGAAGAAAATATAAAACCTTCTAAAAAAAGGATCACATGAAAAAAAAAAGTTCCAATATTATCATTTACCTCGCATTTAAATTGTGCAAGTGCATCCGCTGAGATATCTTGGTTCATAAATTTCTTCACTGCAACTTCCTGTCATGAAATAACAAACAAAAACACAAAAATGAGGTTACATTAAGGCATATGGTAAACAAAAGAGAGATAGGGAGTCCTCATAATCTGAAGCGTGAAAAAATAAAAAAAAAAAGTAAAAAAATGAGAAGGATAACAAAACACTATAAACACTACACAAAAAAATCAAGAATATATATAAAACCAAATTGGGTTTATGACAAGTATATATAGACATCAATTGCAATCATATAGCTTAAATACAACCTACCGTGCCATTCCATTCTGCTCGGAAGACCTCGCCATATGACCCTGCGAGATAGATAAAGCATTTATTACGTATTCAGATTAAGAAACTGCGTCAAAGCAACTATTGTACTTTCTCAAAAGAAGTTCTATAACCCTATTGCATATCCAGACCTAAGGGGCTTTTGCATGCCTATATAAGTTGTAAGTGATAACTTGATCCACACACACACAGAGAGACCTGATAAGCAATGACAAATCTATTGCAGAACTCTTACCTATACCAATGCGTTCACCAATCTGAAGATCTTCCCATAATATCTCTGCAACTCCATTCAGCACAGGATCAATTTGCATGTCGTGGATCATGTTAGCATTAGACTGGTCAGTGCCAGATACTAACATAACTTCTGTACTTCCAGAAAAATCAACTAGTCCTCTACCATTAGCAGTATCATTATCTGTAAGCATCCCATTATTTCTGTCACTCACAAGCGTATTTTGTTCCTCTGGAATATTAAGATCCATGTTATTTCCTTCTGAATCCTGTTTAAACAGCTGTGCTCCCAATCCTGCAGCTGTCTGCTCTCCGCTACTATTGCATGACAGGTTAAATAACTGCCACCCAGTGTAAGGTGCAAGAGAGTGCTCATTTGTAGTCAAGTTAATCTCTGCATGACACTCGTCCACCACCCTGCCTCTCCAAATTAGATCATTTCTTTCCGGCACTTTGCCTTCCCTAAAATCATTGGTATTCATGGCCAAAAACAAATTTTCGGGTTTTGGTGCACTTTCCTCAGTATATATGGTAGGAATTTCTCCATGGAATTCTGCTTTTCTGGCGGCATTAGAAGCAAAACAGGAAGGATCATCAGGACCCGAGTCTAATCCACTTAATATTTTGCTTCCGGCATGCAATGACTCTTCACACACTCTTGGTGGCATATAAAGATCTCGAGGACCATGCTCCAACTGCTCTGTCTGCAATTTCTGAGATATTTTCCTGCCTTTTATATTTGATTCCATGGCAATGGCAGAGGATTCTGAACTTAAACAAACAGATTTTGGAGTTTCATCCACACGGTGTGTAAAGAAATTAATATCACCCTTTCCGTTAGATGCTGTGGTACCCAATTTGCAGTCATTACCGGCAAAAGTAGTAATATTCCTTGCATGTAACCCAAAATTTTGTGGAAGACTGCTTGGTAGCTCAGTCGGAATTAGTGTGCCTGGAGCTCCCATCAGATCAACTATGTATTCACTGAATTAAAAAAAAAAAATTCATTTGAGAGAGAGCTAACTCAAACACAAGTATTTTGAAATAAACACCATACTCTATAACAAATGAGAAATGATAAATGCAGCACAGATCAGCGAGCCGAGATGACGCCATCTGTATGAAAACTGATGCAAGGAAGAAGGGAGAGGATATGCTACGTCACCACATTCCTCTCAAATGACTATTAGCAAATACAAACAGTTCTATCAGATAGAGATCTTTTCTTTGCTGAAAACATGAAAGAGCAGCAAGATTTTACTTATTAACCATTGAAGTTTCATAGGGATTACAGGATTGAATAGCACCCCTGGGGAACAAGAAGCAGTTCTTGAAAAAAAAAAACATAAGTTGAGGATCCCAATTTTCTATGCTTTCATATTTTTCAACTTAACATGATAAATTAAGCAAATATCCTGATCGATCAAGTTTCACATTAGAACTTCCTAGTGGTGGAATGATTTGCACCAAAGAAACAGAACTTTGACATTGGAAATTGCCAAAGTGCCAAATGAAGCCGATACAACTAAAGTCTCACCCACAAGATTAACTCCAAAAGTTGAAGAATAAAGCTGATTGTAAAAAAGCAAATACACAAAATGAGAAGTTGTATAACTGCAGTTACAGTACCTCCCATCATCCAATTTTATCAAGTTCACAGCTCCTTCATCAGTGCCAGTATAATAACTTCCTTTAACTAGCTTACACGGAAGGTTGATCCTGTCAGCAAGTACCTAAAAACCAACAATTGGGTCACAAGATCATGAAGAACATTAGCTTATCAGTGAAACAAGGATGTTTTCAAGTCTGAACCTAATGCATCACAACTATGACCGGAATTTACATAGATACTAACGTAGCCATCAAGGTCAATTTGGTCCCAATCCAACTGAATGTAGAAACAGGCACATACCAGAGAAGGTAAGCCATGAACGATCAGTTACAAATTACAAGTCAATATTACTAAGGTAGAAGAGCAAATATGTCATGAACACGCCTAAGAGAACAAGCTAATAGGAGAAGGAGCATCCCCTAATACCTTAAACAGTAAGGCCCTTTGACGCGAATGCCCAACATCAAGAGAGCCGATGGGAAGAATGATTGTACTCAAATAGATTCTTAGCTCATGATTCCTTGCCCTCCACCTTCTGAACATGTCTTCAACATCAGTAACAGGGCCTCCCATTCTTTCAACAATAATCCTGGCAATTTTTTGAACTAGAAGATTAGTATTCAAGGTCCTGTCCAAAGAATGGCATCCCTTGGTCATAAAATGCACTTTTTCCTCAAGTTTCCGTAGTTCCATGTCAACTGCACGATTCACTAAAACAACCTCACAACCAATATGATCCAATGCAAAAGTTCTTTCCAGTTCAGCAAGTGATGGCATTTTTGTTTGGACCACCAAATTTGAATCTCCACAAACATCATAGAACCCGTCTATTACTTTCTCATCATAATTTATAACATTACAGCTCTGCATCACAAAAGAAGACAACGAAATTTTATCAATCATTCCAGTATATATTATGTATAATGCATAAAGCACCTGCTATTCTTCTCTTCTTAATGACCATTTCGAGAAAAAGTGGGTACGGGATTGCATACGGAGCAAACAGTGGTAAATCTAATAACTGAAAAGTCAATGCCACTTATGCATCGGATGAAAGGGTTGCTCAAATATAGCTGTCCTCCAAATGTCTTCTAGAAATCAACTTTAATGATTAAGTAAGAATCACTCTTCTTGTCCTAATGAAAACATTCAACTTAACAACCACTTATAGCACTATTTGAACAGTGCCTTTTTCATTGTTTGATGAATGATACAAGTGTTTGATTGATTATCATGGTCTTACATGATTTACATTATTGTCTTTGATTTTAAAGACAAGTTACACTAAAAAAGTTTTCTAATCATTACTGCCTTGCAAGAACTACACAAGTCATCACCTAAGCAGTTGGGTGCTGGGCATTGATGACTAAGGCTCCACCATAAAAAAGATGCAGTATATTATTTCGAACAAACTTCCACTAGGAAGGTCTCATAACAGGTAATTGTATATGTTATCTACAATCCTATGGATAGATATAATTATAAATTCACCTTCGAACCTTATATGCAGGAATGTTCTATTATTTAAAACAAATCACCAAATTTTCACCAGCATTATAAATGTTCTGATTTTATATGTTATCTGATTTTATTCACGTGGAGGAAAATATAGAAACTAATCACCAGCATTATAGACCATTAATACAATCCTTATGATCATTAATGAAAATTTTCTGATCCTATTGGTTGAATATTTAGAATTACCTACTGAAATGATGCCATTGATGGCAATCGAAACGATACACACCAACAACGGCAGCGCAAAATAAATCAACAACTATTTTGAGCAACGTTTAATCCATTAGAAACATTCACCTGCTTCGGTATCTCTAGTTTCAGCAAATGAAATCACAATCACCAATAATTGAACTGGCTGATTCATTAGCTACAATAAAATCAGACCTAGAAATCAAAACAAAAACTTACCCAATATCGGAGCGACATAAACTCGGAGAGGCTCTGAGAAGGCGAGCAGCCGAGGCTAATCTGCTTGGCGACGTTAATTTGAGCGGTCTCCGGGTCAACAAGGCTCTGACCCGGATCCGACACGCTAATCGCCAGCGCCAGCTGCATTTGGAACTCCTCCTCGAAGTAATTGAAATTACTCCCGCTCGAGCCCCCGCTCTCCGTCGACACCACTGCTTGCGGCAAATCGGTCGTCGACGGAGACGAGACGGTGGGCATGGGCTGTGGCGGCGACGGCGACCCCGTCCCAGGGGAAGGATCGAGCGCAGACGGCGGTCTCCCGTGGTGGTGGTGATCGCCGATGTGAAGCTTGCGCAGAAAGTGTTTCACCTTGGACATGTTCGGCGCTTCTCATCGATCGAGGGAAAAATTTTCTGATAATCCACAAAGTGCTGTACAGAAAAATTCAGCAGAACAAGATGATTATAACAGCTCTTCGTCTTGAATCGGATCGATTGTAGCATGAGCTAGGGTTTTTTTGGGGTAAATTTGGGAGAGTTTTGAGATGGGCAGTGGTGGGTGGAAAATGCTGTTTTTAACCTGCGCACTGTGAGAGTCTTCATCGTCAAGCTCACACGCACACACACACACACGGTGACGTCGGTGAGTGGGTTAATAAATTAAATAAATTAACTGCTTGCTTTTCCCTCCATGTACGCCTACAAATATAAAGATGAAACTAATACATAAATAAAATATATAATATTATTTGATGTTTTTATTTATCTTTTGGTATATGATAATTTTATTTAAATAATTTATCTAAGTGTATAAATCACAAGATTTAGTGATTTTTTATAGTACAATTTTTTAATTTTTTTTTTGGGTACAAAGGTTTAGTGATTTTTAATTGTTATGTTGAATAAACTTAGGCTTTTTAGTTAATTTCTTAATGGATGTCACTCCTCACAAAAACATGGGCAGAGGGAATATTGGCTGTCACTACTATTGGTAGGAGTTCCATTTAATAAAAAATCTCATTTCCCTAACTCAATGGGCGAATAGAGATGTAACTTATGGTATTCAAGTTCGAGTTCATGGTACTTGAGTTCAAGCTTGAGCCTCCACTTGTTACTTAAACGAGCCAACGATCGAGTTCGAGTTCGAGTTCGATTCATGTATTAATATTAACGAGCTCATCTTCCGCCTTAACTTGTCGAACTCGAGTATTAAAGAGCCAAACTATAGAAAACTATATAAAGATTCATCATTTCGAGTTTTAACAAGTCGATTCGAGCATGTTGTGTCGAAAAATCGAGCTTTAAATAAGTTCGAGTTCGGCTCACTTATTAAACGAGTCGAGTCAATTCACGAGCGAT